GGACTACGGTGCGAACAAGAGGTTCTGAAATTGAGTAGTACATGAACTGGACCTTATAAAGGTCTATACTTTTCAGCGGTCCATTCAAGTGGAGAATGGTCAGCGAGTTGCGCCAACAGCACGGCTCCTCCGACGCTTGTCTGCTCTACGAACAGTTCGTCGTCAACGTGCAGATGCACTGCGGATCTATGCAATCAATTCTATACGGCCAACGAAACTCTGCACAAACTTTGGGGCAACAACTCAGCCTTGTGAGTTTTGCCGTAGTGTCAAAAATCATAAAAAAATAAATTTCCAATTCAGCAGCAACACTTCATTACACCTTCCAAGCCTTCCAATTCATTGTCTCGAATGCGGGAAGGTCAGCATCGCCGGTCGATCTCTTTCCGTGCCTTGTGTGGAAAAACACACTTGCAGAGGAAGTCATTGCATAACAAGTGCGTTTCCTTTTTCTTCGCGATTTGCGTAAATAACTGTGTGGACTTAGGTTTGAGAAGCAAAGGGCACTTTCCTGTGCAATAAATAAATAAATAAATTCGTAATTGCCTCTAATGCGGCTATTGTGGCATGAAAACAATGAGGTGAGTAATGGACCGCCAATTGGGGAAAAATGAGAAGAAATAGTTGAGACACAAAAGATTAATGACGTTCATCTGCATACTCAACTACGAGGCTGTGCTACGCACTAGTCGCCGAGGTGGAGGACAGGTTCGGAAATCAGAGAGCAGAGAGGACCAGCAGGACGCAGATGAACACCAGGGAATTCGCACGTGATAAACTCAATTACACGAAGACAGGGAGAGAGGGGGGGGCGACGGGATTGAGAGCACTGTAGCACTGCGTATCTGGAACTTCGGTCGTCATCACTGATGTGATGTCTGCGCGATCTTGCGTGCACGCTGTCTCCTCGTCTGCTTTTTCCTCTCCAGACCCGGGAGACGTTAAGTTCTATTTCTGGGCTAAGGTCACCAGAGCAGCGCAACTTTTGAAGCCGAAGGTGCAGCTTACTTCAGGATTATGCTTGGGCCTATGTTAACACATTGGTTCACACTGCGCTTATGAATGGGCCGGGGATTAGTAGTCCTAAGCTGACTTCGAGCCAAACGAATGGTGTCTCAATTTAAGGTGATCTGATCTGAGGCAGGAGAACTGCAACGCACCCGTATGGTTCTGGAGAGTCCCTCCCTCGACCATACCTCCCTCGACGCGCTCTTCCATTTTTCCAGCCCTTTTATGACGACAAACTTCCATAGGTACGCAACCGCTATCGCGCTCCTTAACTTGTCTGGAGCCTCTCTTCCTCCTTTCTTCGACATGTGAAGTTTACATATCTTATGCGTCGATGCAAGTCACAAGACCCTTGCGCCCTGATTAGCAAAAGTGAGGTTACCTCTGAGGATGCCCCATTCACGGAGAGGAGGGAGATTGTTACTGTGAAACCGATAGCGAAATATGCCCCCAGTCTATGGCTGAGTGACAAAATTTTAGTCCACGTCTGTTTTCGAGTCTTAATTACTCTCTAGAGCGTGCGTCAAAGATGCTGAATAATTACTTACTTGGATTACAAACGAGTTAACTGTTATATTTCCAGAAAGAGGCACTAACCCACACTCATACTGCGGCTCATCTTGGGAAGGTACCAATGAGGTTTGTTTAGCATGCTCCTTTTACTGTTATAGACTTCACTACAGAAAAAACATGTGGAAAAGCAGATGCACTTCCAAGAATAATGTACGCCATGTAATCGTTCCGTATGGAACGATGGAGGGGTTGAATGCGTAGCGAACTTATACAATAAAGTGGAAGGGCGAGACCTCTATTTGCTCACCTGCAAACACACTTCATAGCACGAAATCAAAGAGCATGGATGGAATGCAAATTTGCAAGGGAACATATTAAATCCAGAAAGCGTAGATAACATTCTTCACAATAGCTCCTTCTAAGATTATTGACTGTAAGTCGATTTCGGAAGACATTGGCGACGATGGCTCAGAAGCGGTAATGCTATAGAAGATAGGGAGTTCATTTTTGTGCATATTTCAATGCATCTTTTATGGGAGAACCACAAGTGACGTCTTCCACGTTTCCGTTGCTGCCTGTTCTCTCGGTAGAAAGGTGAATCGAAGCTTAACAAACAGCAGCCTAAATTCCAGTTACTGGTTTGCGTTATTCAAAACGAACCTCAGACGAATTCGCTTTCATAAAGAACCTTGTGGCAATAAGGGCCGCTGACCGTACGCGCAGTCAAAAAATCACCCGATCACATTTCAGCCATTCGAGCAGTTGCACGGTTCGGGATAGGGCACACTCATCTGCTCTGCCCCCGATCGTGGTAGCGTTGATGTCGTGCCCACATGTGCATCTTGAAAGTGGGAGCCAAATGCGCTAGAAGCTCCCTTGACACGCAATTCACACCATTCGTCCGCAAGCCCTTGCCTTCCGCTGTCGCGGCCGCACCGGTGCCGCGAGAAGAGTGCGCTTCGGCAGCGTTAGCATTGTGGTCAATGTCATCGGCTCTAGTGCAAAACTGGAGCAGGCCGCCTGTGAAACTCGTCCGAACGCGCTCCTCCTCCATTCCAAGGTGAAATGCGCCTGAAAAAGGAGGGGGCTCGTTCGGAGCTTTCCATTTTTTCTCTTCCAACCTATAATTATTGGAGGCTCTTACACACCTATTTTATACAAGAGCTTGCCTTTAACACGTTGACGACATCGCGCGTTTTGGCTTTTTTGGCCGCGTGGGACCGGCGCGATTTTGCAGGCGCCGTCGCATCACCTCATAACCGTGGATTTTGAGCTGTAAATACGCGAAACTTGTATGCGACAGAATGTTTCCATTAATGTTCAATGTATTCAACTTATCGGGAGTTACAGTAATGGAAGTTTGGCCAAAATGACGTGTTATGGCTATGAGAAGGCAAATTTCCTTACTTTCGCTTTGGTGGTTCCAAAATTATTCTGAACGTGGTTGTTTTAGAAAACATATATTGTCATGCGTTTAGGTTTGTGATCACTTCTTTGATCTACGTGTTACACGTTAATGAAAAGAAAACGAGGAATGAACTGAACGGACATTTTCGTAAGGTCTGGAAAACCTCTGCCAAACTAAAGAATATTTGGTCATTCTGTAAGCCACGTGGTTCTTGGTTATGTTGATGTATGGCCTATAAAATGAACACAAAAAACCTGGGAAGAAATGGGCATGTGCGAAAAAAATGAATGTAATGGTGTGGCACACATAGTTGCCACAATGTCCGATGAGGTGCAAAAATGGCGGCATACATAGTTGCCGCGCTGTCGTCAAGGTGTTAAATGATGTG